TTGAGATAATCCGTCTAAAAATAACTTTTCTATAACCCTCTTTAATCATTATAATTTTTCCAAATCTAGTCCAATACCATAAATAATTCATACTTAAGTCCTAAACATAATAGTTGAGAAATTGTGGTTACAATTGAATTTTTTATATTTTTTATTAATGTCCTTTTCTATGGCTTCGTTCTTCTATCTATGTCACGCCTTTACGAAAAAGCTTCGCGCTAGAAATATATTTCAGAAGGCACTCGTAACATCCAACTTAAAGTAGTTTTCATGTTCACATCGGCCATTAAAAAAAAAAGTTTTTAATGACCTATTTTATTGATTATTTGATCGCTATCATTCTACTCCCATCTCAGAACAAAATTAGTTGTAATGATGTTCATGATCCCCTTTAATAAGGCACTAATGACTATTATTGCAAAGGTATTGAATATTAAATATAAAGCTTATAACCCCATTTTCGATGAAATACTAAATTTTTTTTTTTTTTTTTTTTTTTTTTTTTTTTTTTTTTTTGAGAGATGCAAAATAGTTCTCAAATTTCTATTTCAGCCTTTTGGGCCCCATTTGACCGTACAGAGCCCACAAGGGCAACCTTATTAACTCACTTAACACCCAGCTAATCAGCAATTAGAGCGAAGGCATATCATTAATTCACGAGTTGCATGTGGACTGACCATGTTCACAAATAAAGCACAAGCATATGATGCATGACGTGCTCTCAATAATTAATTATTATTTTTATATTCATTAGCCGACGTGCTCTCAATAATGTTTGCTATCCTTTTTTTATTTTTTTTATTTATAAATGTTATTGAAAGCATGGTGGATTAATTTTTGTCTGTATTCGCATAAGTTTTCTTGGGTCAGCAAGAATCAAAGACTTTTTCATGAGACAAGTTTATGCCAAGAAGTGTATAATACATGGTAGGCATAAACCTATTCCAATAAAACATAGGGCTCTCAATCATTGAAAGATGTGTAGGACACATCATGTTAGGTTGGGAGTAAGCATTTTATGACAATATTCTTAGGTCTAATATAATTGGGCCACATTGTCGCATTGCATTCTAATTAGTATTAATTTGTTTTGTTTTTTAAGTTTTTACGAACGAAGGAAGAGATTCGAACTCGCGACCTTCTTTTAGTGTTTTGTTGAAGTTTGGTACATTGATTGTGACATTTTGATGATAATAGATAATCCATAATTCCAATTAGTACAAACTAAATCAATCTTACAAAACAAAATGATTTCCATAGCAGTAGCTTTGTCCAAATTAACCATGCATTCATATAGGACATACTTGGTGCATATCATGCATGTAAACAAAAACACAGATTATGTTGCGAAAAAACAATATGTATTGATTAAGAATTCCAATAATTTTGGAACAAATGTACAAAATGGTTTCTTGAACACGGTACAATCCTATAAAATGTGGATGCCATGACTGATTGTCGAATTTTGAATAGATTCAAGGTGTGAGGAGATTAAGCAGAGACACTCTGTGTTGCAATAGGCATCTGAAGAGTCTTTCCAAACCAGCCTCAAGCCCACTTATGCTGCAATCCAGTGTGTCTAGTCTCCACTGAACCCCCTGCACATCAGTCTTGGCATCATCACTCTTTTTCATGTGGCCATGGAGTGAGCAGAGAGCAACATCTACACTGCCAACTTCATTGTAAATCTTTTGGCCTTTCTCTGATGCTGCAAATCTCACAGCCATTAGCTTTGACACCAAACACCATTTGCTAGCCTTTGTGTTGTTGGTCAAAGGCATGGATAGGAATACACAGAGGGACTGAAACACAGAAATTGTGAGAGCACTTAATTCTCTTAACAATTTAAGCACTATCTGCACATTGTGGTCTAAATCTAAGAGACAAAATGACCCAAGATTGATCTTGCTTTCCATTTTCTTCAAATCTCTGAGGCTCTTCGCAATGCTCTTCTTTGCCTTTTTTCGAAAGCAAATGTAAGCGTGAACGTTGCTTTCGATGCTGCTCGAATCGCTGGTCCTTCTCCTGCGCAGTGCAGATTGAAGGTTCTGAACATGTTCCTTCATTGTCAAAAGCAAGTCTCTTGCATTGCCACAAGAGTCTAGCAACCCAACTGAGCCATCAAGTGCTTCCTCCACTAGTGTTTTGCACTGTTGGGGATGGTTGAGAGCTTGTTGGGTCAGTGGAGTCTGAACAAGTTCCTCAATGCAATTGTACAACTCTGCAAGACAGGACAAGCCCTCTAGAAGAGCCTCACTGCCTAGAGGACTTGAACTTGCTGCTTCTGCAGCACGTGAAAATCTCAAAGTCTTTAACTTGTTGAGCTCTGACTCAATCTTTTGGTAGTTGGGGTTTAGCCTAGATGGTAAGCTAATGGACCTCACAGGTACTATGGATGAAAGTGAAACAGCCATCTTCAATCACTTGAAAGAAAAGCTCTGTGCTTTGAAAAAAAGTCTCAACTTTTTCTCACAATTGAAAGTGAACACTGAATTGAATAAACCCAACTCTGTTAAGTCTTATATATATAAGTTATAGCATCAAATGATAAGGATTACATGTATGGTCTTTTCATGCCAACCCAGTACGGCCTGCATGTGATTGTAATATGGGTCACCCTGCAATTTGAAGATCCTGTATCAAATTTGGCCAACAACTATAAATTCTATATCTTTTTTTACGAACAACATGTACAGGCCGTGAGAGCCGTATGCCTCCTTGCCTCCCCCAATCATTTACCAGAACCATTCTCTCAATCAGAATTCAATCATATTCCTTTTGAATTGTTTTATGGACATGAAAGGCTGGCAGTGCTTGGTGGGCTTTTAAGAAAACCAAAAAGAAGGTATCAATGGGTTAAAATCAAGCCGAAACAACAACACTTAGACAAGATTTAGCCTAAATCTATAGACCTCAAATACAAGAATCTAGCTAGGCTTTGCTAGTCGAATTAACTAGGCACGTCTAACCAAAATGGTCTGGTTCATCCAATCAAGTAAACACCGATTTCCGTATCATTTTGTGTACCATACAATTAGCACTAAGGTGGCAGAAAACCCATTTGTTTGTTCACAGACAAAGAGACATTTTGACCCTCTTTTTAATTACTTTTTATTCCCAAAAAACAAGCATTATAGTTAAACATTTTTGGGTTAAGAGGGGCGGCAGGTTGTTGGCAGTTACTGTCACAAAAGAGCCTAAACCTCAGGAGTCAGAAATGCCCACATTTTGTAATTTGGGTCACATGCACTTCGCGTGACCATGTTGGAAGGACGCAAACCTTAGCAACCTTAAATCACAGACAGAGAGTAATGCTACACTCTTTTTTCATTAGAAGACCGCTAATTGATGCATTTTTAAGGGCACCCTTTTCTGCCTTTGCCAAATTGTGTTCACTGATCAATAAACAATCTAATTTTATTTGATTTTTTTCTTTTCTTTTTGGGTTTTAGATTTTCATTGTCATTGAACAAAACTGCAGAGACAGAAATGCCCATGTCCACCTGTGGTTAAAACTTAAATGGGGGATATATTAGAAAATAAGAAATATATGATATCCCCATGCAATGGTACATACAAATACAGAATTTGGGTCTTATTCTATTCCTTTCCATAAAATTCAAAAAAGCCACAATTACAAAGAATAGATATAAATGCCTTTTGACTTACTTAACAAAAATCTGTGTGTCGATAACAGCAGACAGTACAGCTTCCCAGAGTAGTAGGCTAGTAGCAGATCAACAATCAATAGCAGATAGTGACTGATGCCAACCAGGGGGAGAAGTTTTGCTGCGACCATGGTGATTTAGTTGGCGGATAATTTGCACATAGGATAACTTTTGTCTGGATGGTGAATACAAAATGGGGAAATTGAGTTTCTTAAGGTTATTAATGCTGGTCGATAATCTGCCTCTGCTATATGCTCAGACTGGTCCTGTAAATTGCAATTTGTTGCAGCATCACGGAATTATAGATCTTGGGGATAACGGCTAGATGTATGAACCTTCCCCATCGCTTCACGTCCAGGACGGGCCTTCCACTTGAGGGATTTTGTTATCATTGCCGTTCACCATAAGAGTTGTTTGTCCTGGTGCAGATAGATTGCGGGAGTGCTAATATGTTACATTCAGCTTTCTTGCTTCACCAAGGATGACTCTTGAAAACTTAAACCTACAACAGCCCCGTAACAAACCTGGTGGCCCAAAATAACAAGAAGTGTTTCGATTTAGTCAGGATATTGTATGATGAAAGATATACGTAATGGCCTTATGTGCATAATAATAGAAAAGAAAAACCACAATTCGCATTTCGAGCCTTAATAGAACACAACTAGTGAAACCCACATAATCATATTATACGCACATCAACTACATATAAGCATTTATGTGAAAAAGGTTCTACTCTTTCAACATTCACTCTTGAAGGGATCGAGACAAGAGGGTTCAAAATCGTGATTACAGTTGTGCCAATCCAAGATATGACAACTGTAGGCATTTGGAAGATGACAAACTTACAATTTCAAATTTAACAACCAAACAGCTCCAATAATCCTAAAACTAGGTAACCAGAAAGCATACAAATCCAAGCAGCATTAACTTTAGCATATCTCAGAGACAAAATATCTGTACATATTTAAGTGTTGCCAAAAGGGATTCACTTCAGTACCTTTAAACTCGTGTAATATCTCTCTTCAAGGAAACAATAAATTAAACAAACACGACCGGCTTAATGTCATTTGCTTAACCTTGAGTCTTACAGTTTCACTTTCACTGAAATTAACAAGTTTAGTCGTTACTGAAAACAAAACAACAGCACAATCCAACCTTTGTAAGTTTCATAAATTTAGAAAAACCAGAGGCCACTGTTGCCAATATGGGAATTGATAAACATCACTGTGGCATCTTGAGTTACAAGGATATAATCAATCACAGAACATTTGAAAACGCTACTGGAATTCACGGACAAAATATGGTTGTTATAGAAAATAGAGAAAATACCAGTTAGGTAGCAAGGCCTTGTTCCCTTGCTTTCTTAAGCCACTTCAGTGTACCCTCCAAAGTTGTATAAGCAGCAACATCAGTTACGCTCTTACTCTCAACTGCATAATCAAACACTTCATAAGCATCTGCCACCCTCCCCTCCCTACAAAGTGCCCTCACAAGTGTAGCATAAGAAGCTGTATCAAGCTTCATCCCACATTCTTTCATCACACCATACAAGTCTAGCCCTTTCTCTAACAATTTTGCTTTACACAATCCATGAAGCAACGTATTATACGTGCAAACATTCGGTTCGCACCCCTTTTCTTGCATCTCCTCCAACAACCCTAATGCACCCAAGACATCCCCTTTCCGACACAATCCATTCATCAATGAAGTGTATGTCACCGCATCCGGGAAATGACCCATCTCAACCATGACACCCAAATACTTCTTAGCCTCAACAACTCGCCCACATTTCGATAACCCAAAAATCAAAGTATTGTACGTTACAAGATCAGGCTCCACACCATTCTCCTTCATATTCTTCAAAACCTCAAGTGCCTCATTGCCCAAATTCAACCTACAACAACCTTTCATAATTGTATTGTAAATATAGCAATCAGGCCTAAATCCCTCCTTAGCCAACACATCCACTAGCCTAGTAGCCTCACGTAAATTCTCTCTATTAGTCACATTGTCAATCAAAATTGTATAAGTGATAATATCAGGCTTCAAACCGAAAGACGTTTTAAATTCTTCAATGAAATCATAAACAGTACTCACAGCACTTGACTTGCAGAGACACTTAACAAGAAAATTGTAGGTATAAGAATCCGGTGCTGCGTTTTTAAGCGACATTTCTTTGACCAATTCCACGGCAAGGCCAACATTACCAGACGAACAGAGTGACCGGACTGCGATATCCGTGGTGACCTTATCGGGACTGAAGCCATTGGTGAGCATAAAGTTGAGGACTTGGTGTACGGGTTTGAGGGTCTGATCAGGTGCTTTGCAGGACTGGGAAAGCAAAACGTGGTAGGTCGATCGGTCGGGAGAGAAAGGAGGGTGGGTTTTGATCATGTGGTTGAAGAGAGAGATGGAGTCATTGAGGGTGGAGATTGAGGCATAGGATTGGAGGAGGGCGTTGTGGACGCGAAGGTCAAGTGGGACTTTTGTGGTGGTGACGATGGAGTTGAAGACCTTCTTCGCGTCTGAGAGGTTGGCGGAGGTGAAGGGGTTTCTGAAGGTTGGTTCTCTGGTTTTCTCGGAAAGTTGGGGTGGGATTTTCTTGGTGGTTTTCTTGGGAAAGTGATGGGTTCTGTGAGATGGGGACTCGTTTGGGACTAAAGAAGATGGCTTTTTGATAAGTGAGGTTGAAACTGAGGACCGAAGTGATGGTGGGATTTTCCCCATTTCTTCTTCTTCTTCTTCTTCTTTGGTGGGTGGAAGCTCTGTGCTGGTGAAGGTGTTAGGGTTTTGCAGGGGTTTGAGATTTGGGGATTGCGGGTGCTGTGATGGGTCATGGGGAGGTTTACTCCTTTAGGTTCGTTATTTACATTGTTAGCGCCAAGGCCCGGTTTTTTGCAATGGCCCAATATGAAAAGCCTGGATGTTGATGAAAAACGACATATCGTAAATTGCAAAAGATTATGACCTTAATAAATTTAGAGAGCAAGTGGAGTAAGTAACAAATTGAATGAAATTACCATATGCCTTTAATTTTAAGGTTAGTTATTACAGTTGTCCTTTAGTATATTTATTTAGAGGATGTTTGTTTAAGTTTCATGGCGATTGAATCAAACAAAGAACAATGCTCTGATATTTTATATAATAATTGACAAGTGAGTAGTATAAGGTTAACTGATAACTCAAATATTTAAAATTATTTACTCTTTCATTCGGTGTTTGTTGCTCTCAATTTGTTGTTGTTGTAATATCACTTGTATTTAAAGAAAATTAGTGCAAATGCTAAGTAACAAGCTTTTATTTATGAAATAGAAACGAGACATTTCCTATTACATAGGATGATTATTGTATTATTTGGTACACCGTGCATAAGATTATTTTAGCCTTTTGTCTTTTTTAGGCAACAAGCCCAAAAGGACTTTGTTTATAACAATCCAAGTTGTCCCCTGGGCTCACTTCCAAAATCTCAGAATACCTTTTGTAGAACCCAATCCTATTAGCAACCATATCATTTGGGCCATGCCCACATTCAAGCCCACCGTTGATTATATTGGTGATCACTCCATACCCGGGGACCCGACCCGCCGACCTGTCTGCAGCAGATGGGCTCCACCTGCCAGTGATGACGTCATGGCTCGATGGCTTGTTTCCCTGTCGGGTCATCCAGAACCATATAGCTGTGCTGAATGATACAACCGGGTCAGTGGCCACTAGATCCGGATTGGCTAACAAATCCTTTCTGATTGCTTTACCCGCTGGACCATAGTTGTAGTTGCTAGAAGAAAAGTCAACAAATAAACAAGTCAGTCAAAGTCAACAAGTCAATGTTCCCGAACTTGTAGTGTGAAGAGATACGAGAGAGACTTACTGCGTGAGTTGGATGGGTCCTCTGCCATAATATTTCTTGCCGGGAGCGCATGGGTATTCGGCGGATTGTTTACAATTTACATCTTGTTTCTTTTCATTGATAAAGCAATATCCCCATGCATATGGTCCATCTGGTGCAGTTTTCCATCCTCCTGCATAATCAAATTCACATATTTTAAGATGCTTATTGATTCATCGTGATAGGGTTAAGAGAGAATCGTGTAAGAATTCGTAGTTTTATACCAAACAAACAATCATGACCAATACTATAGTACTGACCAGTAGTCTCATGAGAGGTTTGACCCAAGAAAGCAGCAAGCTCCCTCTTCCTTACAGTAACATCTCCAGTTGTGCCGAACCCATTGAAAGTCCGAGCAGCGGCAATGAAAGCATCATACTTGTAGAACCCTTTACTTTCGCAGTCCGCGTGATTTCGATGCTTAAGCATCTGGTCAAAAAGAGCTGAGCTAACGACGCTGCTGACATCACCACCACCGCCACCACTTGGGGTTGGGGTTGGGGTTGGTTTAGGGGTCGAGGCACATTGGCTCTGGCAACCAGTGGCGCAATAATCAGCTGTGTTGCCGCACCACCCATGTGCGCTGCAGCACAGCCCATTGGGGCACACTGCATTTCCAGCTTGCCTCCCACATTGCTCTGCTGAGATCCCTAACAGCAAAGCTAGGGATAAAATGATAAGACTCTGTAACTTCATTTTCCTTTTCTGAAAGTGTTTGATGTCTTTTTAATCTGTGGATTGGGTTTCGTGGGGATGTGTATATATAGCATAGCGAGGAAGCGGTTTTGTTTGACTACTTTCTCAAATTGGCAAAGTACCCTCCCCATTAATTGTATTTGCTTTTTTCTTCTAAGTTTGTTTAGTTGTGGAAATTGCATAAGAGGGTTATTTTTAGTGACGGTGTATTTGGGCAGGGTGCTAGAAAATATCTGAAAAGTTTGCGTACGGATTGACTAGTTCCCCTCAACACAAGGCAATCGATTGAAATTTCAAAATTGAAGGATAAGGGCAGGAACTTTTTATTTTGTCTATGTAAAAATATGTCTGGCTACAGGAAAAGGAAAATATCAGAGGATATGTCAGTTTACGTGGGGTAATGGGAACTATTTGAAATCACAAACTTGCAAAAGGGATTTCCTTATCAATAAGAGGAGAAAAGGTTATAATAAATGGGGATATCACTATTTTGTTACCATTAGGTAATAACGTTATAACACGTGTGATAAAATTTTCACGAGACAAAGCATTATTAGTCAGAAATAACAAAATAGTATTATCCCTATTACAACTAAATTTTTCTCCGATTAGAGTTACCTCATCATTATGCCTTACTCCAAGTGGAGATAGGATTATTTTTTATTTGTGAAAAAAATATAGCATTATATTGATTAGTGATAAGTGTTGGAAAAATTGGTTTAACCAATAACTTTTCGTTTACCTAAAAAAAACCAATAAATTTTCAGTCACGAGCGGCTAGCCGATCATTTGGGTGAGAAATTGAATGCCAACTTTGCCAAGTACCGTTTTTGTTTGAAGAGAAAAGCATACACGGGTGAATATTCTTCCTTGGTCTGCCCACAAACAAGAAGGAAATGAAATTGTTCAAAGGACTATATGTTAACTCTTGGGCTTGGGCCCGGGTCGCATTATTTTGGGCTGAAATTTTATATGTTGTTTTTTTATTATGACTTTTCAATTTCAATGGCCTCTTCCATAGAATATTGAAACCGCCACGCCATTTAAAATAGGCCGACCATTAGCACAATATATGGTCATGGTTCTAATAACGGTGAAATGTTAATGAAAGCACAAAATTCATATTCCTAGGAAATGGAAATCCATAACAAATGGGGGTCGGGGTATCATGGACTATTTTGGTTGGGACATTTTCTCTCTTGTGCTCACCCATATGTTTGGGCCTAAGAAATGGGTCTGAGTTCCCAGGCTCCCAAGCAACCCGGAACTTCCATTTCTCAGCCCATCTATGGGCCTCATGATAACTTATTACCATCCATACCACAACCCACTCAAGCAAGCCCCGGGTATTTGAGTGGCTTGGGGCCCACTTAAGCTTGTGGCGTGATTGGGTGCGGAATAATAATTCCTTGCTTGACGTGGCATGTTGCTTGACATGCTTCAATTTTATTGTCCTTGAAAAGGGACACGGTGCTTAGTTTAGCATGTGCTTGTATTTTATAATATTATTTCAGTCCTTGGCATGGCAAATTATTTATTTAGCATGACACGTGGACTATGATTTGTATATGACGAGTCTTCGTGTACTCCGATATGTGACTTTTCTTAATACAATATCGTATTGGACCGAAAGCTTATTTGGGCCCAACCATAGACTTTTTTGGGCCTCAACAACCATACCTTTCAAAGTCTTAAACTTTTCTTTCTTCAGCCATGCTCTTTGAAACCCCATTCATTTGACTACTATAAGCATCCCAATAACCATCACAGCCAAACAATCAAACCATCATAGCCATAGCTTCAAACAATAAATTCTCAACACTCAAACTCAAGCATATCAAACACCAACCTAAGCACAAGCATTCTCATTTGCTAAACTTGTGGGTCTTTAGCTCCCACACTTCAAACTCTCATGCCAAGCTCGTACAATCTCAGATCAACATCAGCAAGTCATCTTCAACTCTTCGTCAAGTTGCTGGAAATATCCGCACAAAATACGCAGTCGCTAGAAGAAAAACAAAGTACTCCCCTAGGACTTGCTTCTCCCTCGAGGTATTTTGGGCCTAGTTCTCGCTAACTTAGAAAAAGGGGCAACAAAGGCTTGATTCACCACGTTATGACAGTCCAAGAATCAAGGATGAGCCTTCCGACGGAAAAAAGACCCCAACAGAAGGTCTTTTCTTTGTGTCATTCTTTTTTATGAATAGATGTATAATATGATTTTTGTAAGATACATATTTGTTTTTTTGTTTTTCGTTTTATTTGATTTAGCAAAACACTCAATAGAGATTCTTGTTCTTCACAATTGGAAATTTGAAGTTTCGAATTGAGGAAAAATATGATCAAAATCCAAATTTTTTTATTATTCTTTGTTCATTAGTTTTATTGTTATTGTTTGTGTTTTTATAAAAATTAGAAAATGTTACCTAATAAAATTAATTTGTTGATAAAAAAAATTTGTAATTTTAGTTTTTAATTTGTCTAAAAGGGCACTCTCTAGAAATTTTCCCTGGGGCTTAGAAAACCCAGGACCGGCTCTGCTTAGGGGGTGTATTCAATTGAGATAAAATTGAGATTTTAATAATCTTATAGGGACTTAAGAACTTGGGGGGTGTATTCAATTGAGATACAATTGAGATTTTAACATGGATTTCAACCGAATTTGTAATTATATGATTTTAATGGATTGCAATTACATGATTTTACTTATGATTTTAATAGATTACAATTACAGAATCTCTTCTTCTGCAACGCACCAGTACTAGTAACTAATCAGCCACACCAATATCAACAACCAAAGAGGCAAGTTTTGAGCTTTGAAATTGGGAGTAAGACTAAGGGCAAGCAATTCTGTATTTCCTTTTGTCAGATTTTGATTTATTCATAATTTGGTGGTTTATTAGATTTGGAATATTTTAGTTTTGGGTTTAGGGACAGCCAATTCATATGGAGGAAGATGAGAAAAGTGGTGGTTGTTTTTTTCGTTGTTTACTGTACACTGAGGGAGAGAGGAGAGTGCAGGAAAGAGGAGAAAGAGGGGTCAGGGTTTGAGGGTCTGATCAGGTGCTTTGCAGGACTGGGAAAGCAAAACGTGGTAGGTCGATCGGTCGGGAGAGAAAGGAGGGTGGGTTTTGATCATGTGGTTGAAGAGAGAGATGGAGTCATTGAGGGTGGAGATTGAGGCATAGGATTGGAGGAGGGCGTTGTGGACGCGAAGGTCAAGTGGGACTTTGTGGTGGTGACGATGGAGTTGAAGAACTTCTTCGCGTCTGAGAGGTTGGCGGAGGTGAAGGGGTTTCTGAAGGTTGGTTCTCTGGTTTTCTCGGAAAGTTGGGGTAGGATTTTCTTGGTGGTTTTCTTGGGAAAGTGATGGGGTCTGTGAGATGGGGACTCGTTTGGGACTAAAGAAGATGGCTTTGTGATAAGTGAGGTTGAAACTGAGGACCGAAGTGATGGTGGGATTTTCCCCATTTCTTCTTCTTCTTCTTCTTCTTTGGTGGGTGGAAGCTCTGTGCAGGTGTTAGGGTTTTGCAGGGGTTTGAGATTTGGGGATTGCGGGTGCTGTGATGGGTCATGGGAGGTTTACTCCTTTAGGTCCGTTATTGACATTGTTAGCGCTAGAGCCCGGTTTTTCGCAATGGCCCAAAATGAAAAGCCTGGATGTTGATGAAAAACGACATATCGTAAATTGCAAAAGATTATGACCTTAATAAATTTAGAGAGCAAGTGGAGTAAGTAACAAATTGAATTTTAAAGTTAGTTATTACAGTTGTCCTTTAGTATATTAACCAGAGTTTATTTAGAGGATGTTCTATGTTTAAATTTCATGGCAATCGAATCAAACAAAGAATGATGCTTTGATATTTTTTATATAATAATTGACAAGTGAGTAGTATAACTCATTCGGTGTTTGTTGCTCTCAAATTTTTTATTTTTATTTTTGTAATATCACTTGTATTTAAAGAAAATTAGTGCAAATGCTAAGTAACAAGCTTTTATTTATGAAATAGAAACGAGACATTTCCTATTACATAGGATGATTATTGTATTATTCGGTAGACCGTACATAAGATTATTTTAGCATTTTGTCTTTTTTAGGCAAAAGGCCTTTGGTTGTAACAGTCCAAGTTGTCCCCTGGGCTCACTCCCAAAATCTGAGAATACCTTCTGTAGAACCCAATCCTACTAGCCACCCTATCATCCTGGCCATGCCCACATTCAAGCCCACCGTTGATTATATTGGTGATCACTCCATACCCGGGGACCCGACCGGCCGACGTGTCTGCAGCAGATGGGCTCCACCTGCCAGTGATGACATCATGGCTCGATGGCTTGTTTCCCTGTGGGGTCATCCAGAACCATATAGCTGTCCTGAATGATACAACCGGGTCAGTGGCCACTAGATCCGGATTGGCTATCAGATCCTGTCTGATTGCTTTACCCGCCTGACCATAGTTGTAGTTGCTAGAAGAAAAGTCAACAAGTCAGTCAAAGTCAACAAGTCAATGGACCAGAACTCGTTAGGTGAAGAGATAAGAGAGAGACTTACTGCGTGAGTTGGATGGGTCCTCTGCCGTAATATTTCTTGCCGGCAGCGCAGGGGTATTGGGCGGATGGTGTACAATATACATCTTGGTTATTTTCATTGATAAAGCAATATCCCCATGCATATGGTCCATCTGGTGCAGTTGCCCATCCTCCTGCATAATCAAAATGAATAAATTTTTACAATTAAATTAGTGTTGGTCCTCTTTTAAAGATAAGAAAACCGGTTTAAATTGACCAAAAATTTAGTCCCCTAATCTAAAAATCCTAGCTCCGCCTCTTTGCCTAACTGAGAGGTAATCCGCAATATAATTCCATAAGTCAAAATGATCATTAAACTAGTTTTATACCAAACAAACAATCATGACTAATTTTAGAGTACTGACCAGTAGTCTCATGAGAGGTTTGAGCCAAGAAAGCGGCAAGCTCCCTCTTCTGGACAGTAACATCCCCAGTTGTGCCAAACCCATTAAAAGTCCGAGCAGCAGCAATGAAAGCATCATACTTGTAGAACCCATTACTTTTGCATCTCGCGTCATTTCGGTACTTGAGCATCTGGTCAAAAACAGCTGAGCTAACGACGCTGCTGACATCACCACCACCGCCACCACCTGGGGTTGGGGTTGGTTTAGGGGTCGAGGCACATTGGCTCTGGCAACCAGTGGCGCAATAATCAGCTGTGGTGCCGCACCACCCATATTGGCTGCAGCACAGCCCATTGGGGCACACTGCATTTCCAGCTTGCCTCCCACATTGCTCTGCTGAGATCCCTAACAACAAAGCTAGGGATAAAATGATAAGACTCTCTAACTTCATTTTCCTTTTCTGAAAGTGTTTGATGTCTTTTTGATCTGTGGATTGGGTTTCGTGGGGATGTGTATATATAGCGCAGCGAGGAAGCGGTTTTGTTTGACTATTTTCTCAAACTGGAAAAGTACCGACCCTATTAATTGTATTTGCTTTTTTCTTCTAAGTTTGTTTAGTTATGGAAATTGCGCAAGAGGGTTATTTTTATTGACGGTGTAATTCGGCAGGCCGCTAGAAAGTATCTGAAAGGTTTGCGTACGGAGTGACTAGTTCCCCTCAACACACGTCAATCGATTGAAATTTCAAAATTGAAGGATAAGGGCAGGACCAGTGCAGACCCAGAACGAGAGATTTAGTCGTACTTTGAATATCTCTTCTTTTGACCACACAGTCTAAAACCAAGTCTATAGAAATCAAGGTGAATGTGATTGATCAAAGTTACCCCAGTAGTATAATTTTCTTACTATTTCTTACTTCTTTGTTTTATTCTTGTCATAGATTCTTATCTTTCGCTCACATTCTTTATGTATTTGAAACTTTTTATTTTGTCTATGTAAAAATATGTCTGGCTACAGGAAAAGAAGAATACCAGAGGATATATCAGTTTTAGGTGGGGTAATGGGAACTATTTGAAATCACAAACTCGCAAAAGGGATCTCTTTATCAATAAGAGGAGAAAGAGTTCCAATAAACGGAGATATTACTATTTTGCTATCTTTGATCAATAACGTTATAACATATGTGATAACATTTTCACGTGGCAGAGCATTATGGCCCGTTTGGTTCATGGAATGAATTTTAGGGGAATGAATTTCTCATGTCATTCCCCAAGGAATGAGAATGGAAGATTCATTTCCCATGTTTGGTAATAATAGGAAAGTAACCAGGAAATATCACTTTATTTCTTTTCCCATGTTTGTTTTGAGTAGAAATAGAAAACAAAGTTTGTATAAATTTTCAATTATACCCATATTAAATCAAATAAAAAAATAATGCATTTAATGATATATTGTAATTCTAAATTGTTGATGGGGATAAAATGGTCATAAAAAATATGTATTTAATGTTAGCTCATTTTCCCGAACTTTTCCATAAGGAGGGAAAACAAAACCCAAGTTGGGATGATGACTTCACTTTCCTCCATACTTTCCTATAAGCCAGACAACGATTTCTCATACATAAACTTACCAAACATAGGAAAACAATTGATTTCTCATTCCCAAGTCTCTTTTCTCATGAACCAAACGGGGCCTATTAGTTGAGGATAATAAAATAGTATTATCCCTATTACAACTAAGTTTTTCTCGATAAGAGTTACCTCATCATTATGCCTTACTCCAAGTGGAGATAGGATTATTTTTTATTTGTGAAAAAAATATAGCCTTATATTGATTAGCGATAGGTGTTGGAAAAATTGGTTTAACCAATAACTTTTCGTTTACCTACAAAAACAAATAAATTTTCAGTCACGTCACGAGCGGCGAGCTCATCATTTAGGTGAGAAATTGAATGCCAACGTGCCAACCCAAGTACCGTTTATGTTTGAAGAGAAAAGCATACATTGTTGAATATTCTTTCTTGGTCTCCCCACAAATTAGAAGGAAATGAAATTGTTAAAAGGACTATATGTTAACTATTGGGCTTGGGCTTGGGCCCGGGTCGCATTATTTTGGGCTGAAATTCTATATGTTATTTTTTTATTATGATTTTTCAATTTCAATGGCCTCTTTCATAGAATATTGCAACCGCCATACCATTTAAAATAGGCCGACCATTAGCACAATATATGGTCATGTCTTCCTATATGAGAGGTTGAAACTCATGTAAGAGGTATTACATTCCCAAATATGTACTTTTTTTATACCAATTTTGAAGCCTCTAACCTGCAAACTAAACCGGGTTCTCTGTTAGTTGCGCTTTTGGAACCAAATAACCGTCCAAATAACTGTTTAATTGCAAAATACAAGAAATTATATGTACGGGATAGGAAAAAAAAAAGTTTAGAGAGTGATCAAGAATCAATCAAGAACTATACATATGATTCCACTAAGCATTCGTCCTTATCTTAATTAATTACTCTCACGCGAGACACCCAAAAAGAATTTGCATGATTAACTCTTTTATTTTATTTTCTTCTTTTTATGTGCGGAGGAAGCAACGAGATACACATGGTTTCTTCTATATATATATATATATATATAGCCTAACTTATGTAGAATCATATTATGCGGAAGACCCTATAGGCTAGACGTAACAAACCATGAGTAAGGGTTGTCTTGTTCAGTGCTCAGCAAACTACATGCCCTTGTCACCTATAAGCTTCTTAGAGCGAGCAGCTGTCGTCTATGGCGACAAGGTTTCGATCGTCTACGGTGGCCAGAGATTTTCATGGAAGGAGACGCATCAAAGATGTTTCAAGGTCGCTTCAGCTTTTGTCCACCTGGGGATATCCCGCCACGACGTTGTGAGTAGCTATTAATCTTAATTCTTTCATGAACATGAATATATCTTGTGGTTTAACCCCAAACTTTTGTGTGTTTTTAGTTCAAGCATTACTATAAGTATATTAATCCGTTAGTGTACTTAGAGTAAGCTAATACATGTTTTAGGACGTCTATATAAACTTAAGTAAGTCTTGCGTTTTCCAAGAGAAACTTATTGTAAGTCGAGGGCTAATGGAGGAAGTGCATGGACATGTCGTGGAGAGAGAGAGAGAGAGAGAGAGAGAGAGAGAGAGGTAGATATTTGATCTGTTTGATTAAAACCAGTGAGGAAACCAGGTAGCCATGAATATTGCAAAGCCATCGATGGAGTTCATTAACCAACGAGAGGCAATGACTAGTTTGCCAAAAAGACTGACTTTAGCAAGTCAATAGTCCATTGTACTTTATTGCGTGACTGTCGGGGTTTGATCTTTTTTAATATTTAACAAGTCAATACATACAACTTGGGACGATATTATTTACACATTGGCGGGTCAAATGGACAATGGCCATGAGCCCCATGATCATCGCACCACCAAGTAACATGGTGAGCCTCCTTAGCCATATGTGCCTGTCGGCGTTTTATTTATATAAAACTGTCCCATGACGGCTGGCTGACCAACTTCAATTAATCTGTGAACCATAGAGCTGCAATTGCGGGCACATACATGCATCATATACTATACATATTATATATATATATATATATATAAATAGAAGGATTTTTCAATGGAAGTTTATTTAAGGACATCCTTGTAGGACTCACTTTGCATTGTATTTCACTAATCCAAACAATCTATGTTTTAGATAATCGTTCAAAGATCATCTCTATAAAAAATCACTTGAATCCGATATCATTTGACTACTCAATTGTGTTATTGAAAATTTAGTATTTTCCTTGAAGAACATTGTTTATTGATTTTGTATGATATAATTGGATGTCGAAACGGTTTTCGATTTCTCTAATTTGTTACAAGGATGATCTATGAATGTAGACTTAAACAATAGATGATTTGGATCATTAGGAAAAAAATTCGTAGCATACCCTAAAAGATATCCCTTAAATAATTTATTTGAGGAATCCTTCAATAAAAGGGAAATATATATATATATATAGCTACAAAGTTATTATATAAACAACTCTAGAAACTTGTACTTCCGTTTGTTTCTTGATTCTTCTTTCTTTATTATATTGATCTCTTTTGCTAGCTAAGCTATGACAAAATAAAAAGTTGTGGTCTAGCATGATTTCCACTAATGGAAAACTTTGATCACCACAAAGCTCCTTCTTTATTTTTTTTTTTTTTTTTTTTTTTTTTTTTTGTAGTGAAATAATAGAGGTTGCGCTCACGCACATGCACAATGTAAATCTGTTATGAAATTCACATGCATCTGTATATAATACAAATAGGGTAATGTTCGTTTACTAAGTTTATGTTGTTAGACAAATACTTATTATGAGACTACGCGTATGTTTGAATCATTCATATATTAAGACAATAACCAATTTAATCGATAATCAAGATTCACATACTTATATGGTCGATGGATGGTATGTTAAAAATTAACAGTGTATATGTAATGGACAATAGTGGAAATCATATTGTGAATCTAGCAAAAGAGTAGATCAATACAAAGTAATTCATGCATGTGCGTCCAAGGTGACTGACGAACGTAGCTTTTGATGTCTTTGTTTATCTCTAGTTGTCTATTGCTAATTTACTCCAATTCGAAGATTTTGTCTGTTGTTTGTTTTTCTTTTCTTCTTCTGGACCTAGGCAGGCAAAGATAAGGATAGATAGAGACTAGAAGAAAAGGATGAGAATACAGACACCACTCTCCCTATCTTTATTGAGAATAAGAAATCAATGGAAACACAAACACTTACTAAAGCCCAAAAGTTACGTTAGTCAAGTGCCCTTTTTAGTCCTGCATGCGTTACACGCATTCATGCACTTCAATAGCAAGAGTGATCCTAATAAAAACAAGAAGATAGTTTTAAGTGAAACGGTTGGACTAAGTGGAATTCCTGCATTGGAATTCCACCCGGCCTTATGTTGGAGAGATAATCCACCTATATTATGACATGTGAATAAATTATAAGTGGTCGAACAATCGTATCATTCTATAATTTCTTCTTATGTTGATCCTACCCCAAATACAAAGAATCAATTTTACTTATGAAAGTGATTAGAGGGGTGATGACGTGATCCCAGAATAAGAGAGTCTCGTACGAGAGAAAAAAAAAAGTCTAGCATAATTAGTCGTATAAAATCCACATACCTAGCTATGACATCACATCCTGAATAGAACCAATATTGTGACACTAATCTTTAACAATACAATAAAGTGCAACCGCACATATAGGTTGATTATTATAACTTAATGGTCATGTCACTAATTGATTATGTCACTAATTATAAGATAATTCAAGATCATGTCACTGATTGATTAATTTTGTTTTTAATTTAGTTGCTAATTTGAAGTGGGATCATGTCAAAAGCCAATACCTTTGTGTTTGGTACGCTCTTTAGTGTGAACATCTTGAATATTGTAATGCTATATTGTCCAATAGAGAAAAGTAATAAAGGAGAGAAGAGCAATCACAATCGAAGTAGTACACAATGTAGTACAAAACCCAGAGTCAGTCAAAGTAAGATAGGCCCTCTAGAAATATATGCGCGCATACACACATGCACCGAAAAAAGTAGTAGTAGGCTCAATTCGACTAACTACTATAATCTAGTCTAGCTTCTATCTACTTTTAATTTAGTGTTAGCAAGAGTAAATAATATAGTTTTATCATACATAAAAAGAAATATTTCTCATAGTTCCATTTTGGTTTTTTTATTTTTTGGGTGTTAACCGAATCCTAAAATTAACTTAGTACACTATATAATCTAAATACACCTTAATATTTAAATTAAAATATAAAATTAACTAAGTACACCCCATTTAACTACCCAAAATACCCCTACTAAACCCTAATACATTTTATCACATAACACCAAACTCATTCGAGAGCTGACTGCCGAACACTATCAGACCACTAAACCCACCTTGCTGCTGAACTTGCTCCTTAACCCACCTTGTTGTCCTTGTGACGGTTTCTGTGCTTCTTATGATCTTTAGTAGTTGATATCATGGTTGGCATAACGAAGACAATCAACCCTCTTAAATTTGCTTCTTGTTTTGTTACCAATCTTCTTCTCTGTAGGAACAAATACAACTCAAATAACGATTGCAGTCAATTAGACAAAAAGTTGTTTGAATCATAATTTTCGGGCTGCAGTGATGATTCTGTCATCCATCACTACTAGTGTAGGGGTTTATAAGCCAAATGGCAAATGCCACAGGGAATTAAAGTTATAAAGAAATCTTGAAACATATATATATATATATATATATATATATATATCAGGAAAAAATCCAAGAAAAAAGGAGTCCTGGAGACATAACATGCTATAATTTATTGTAGGTTTTTCTCTTACGTTTGATTAGGGTTGAATATGGTGAGTAATGTGTACTTATTAAAATTACATTTGTTTCACAATTTAATATATCCTTTTGGTCATTTTATATTAGGATAAATTAGTAATTCAATAAATAGTTTGGTAGTAAGGGATACTCAGTTAATTTTAGAGTTCGTTTAGAGGCAGGTCTAATGTACCTAACAGTAGCCAAGTAATTAAAATTGTTGATCTACTTCCCTGGCCAGGTTGCAGCTTTTGCACCAAATATTCCAGCACTCTATGAGCTTCATTTCAGCGTTCCAATGGCAGGGGCAATTCTTTGTGCACTTAACATTAGGCTGGACTCTCCCACATTATCATTGATATTACAACAGTTGGAGGCCAAAGCCATTCTTGTAGATCATCAGTACATTGAAGTTGTCCTCCAAGCACTGGACATATTGTCCCAAAAAAAGTCCAATCCACCTCTGCTCATTCTTATCCCAGAGTTTGACCAATCATCATCATCATCTTCTCCCATTGATCTTGACCTTCCACCAGGTACCCTGAATTACAATGACCTGCTGCAGGCAAAAGCAGAGCCCAACTTTCAGATTCTAAGACCCAACAATGAATGTGACCCAATTTCAGTGAGTTACACTTCTGGCTCAACTGGAAATCCCAAGGGAGTTTTATACAGCCACAGAGCTGTGTATCTTAATTCATTGGCAGCCATTTTTCAAAGTGACATGAGAAAAATGCCAGTGTTCTTATGGACAGTCGAAATGTTTCGGTGCAACGGTTGGTGCTTCCCTTGGGCTGTTGCTGCTCTTGGAGGCACCAACATCTGCCTCAGAAATGTCTCAGCCAAACTCATTTTTGAAGCAATTCATCTCCACAAGGTAACACACATGTGTGGTGCACCTTCTATTTTGAACATCCTAGCAGATGCCTCAGAAAATGACCAAACCAGGGGAATAAAATCAAGGGTGGAGATTATTGTTGCTGGTGCATTGCCAGCACCTCAGATCTTGACCAAGGTTGCAGAGCTGGGATTCAATGTGAGCCATGGATATGGCATGACAGAGGCTCTTGGGCCAGCAATTGTCACACCATGCAAGCCTGGTCAAAAGCAATCTCAGTACAATCTGATGATGGAAGGGGTTGATGTGAAGGATCCAAACACCATGGAAAGTGTGGAATTTGATGGGAAAACAATGGGGGAGATTATGTTCAGAGGCAACACTTTGATGCTGGATTATCTAGAGAATTCAAAACCAGTTCATGAGGTTTTCAAGGGTGGATGGTATAGGACTGGTGACCTGGCAGTTAGGCATCCAGATGGATACATTCAGATGAAAGACAGGGCAAGGGATATTATCATTTGTGGTGGTGAGGTTATCAGCACCCTTGAGGTGGAGGCAGTTTTGCTGACTCATCCACAGGTTTTGCAGGCTGCTGTTGTGGGGAGATATGATGAGGTTTTGGGGGAGACTCCTTGTGGTTTTGTGAAGTTGAAGGAGGGGTTTGGTGGTGGTGGTGAAGCAAGTTCTAGAGAGATTATAGAGTTTTGTAAGGGGAAATTGCCTGGTTTTATGGTTCCAAAAGTTGTGATATTTGGGGATTTGCCTAGCCCAACTGGGAAGATACAAAAATTTGTTCTGAGGGAGAAGGCCAATCTTGTGGGAGGCCAAGAATAAGATGCCTAAACTATGATGTTTTTCTTTTTCTTTGTAACATTTCAGGAAATCTCGAACAATAAATTTACCAGGTTGTCTGCTCTTTTTTCTTCAACATTTCAACTGTAGACCCATCTATATAAATTTACCAGGTTGTCTGCTCCTATTTCTTCAACAATTTCAACTGTAGACCCATCTTCTGTAGCTAAGAGTAAACATCCATTCACAAGAAATTTCATGCTTCCAGTTCCAGAGGCCTCGTGTCCTGCGGTGCTGCAACGGAATCATCACACGTTGTAGAGTGAAAAACCTGAGATTTTAACTCTCAATATTTGTACAAAACAGGATAGGAAGAACGCATTGAAGGATACAAAATTCTTTCTCTTACCAACTTCAGAAGATCTCCGACATCAGTGTCATTATTTATTTTTTCTTACCAAAAAAGAAAAAACATGAGAACAAAAGAAAGCTCCAACTCCACATCATCATATCTCATTGAAAAATCAGCAAATTACTGTGACAAGAAGATGAAATAGGTATGCATAATGCTGGACTCCCTTTAGAAGGTATAAGGTAGTTCTTTGTTAATAAGTTATAAAAATATGGAATGCGAAGTTCTTCACCATATAAAATCAGATTCACCTTGATACAGTTATATCGATGGATAATGCCTAGTATATTAAGCAGCTGTCTATTGTACTCGTGTATTCGCTTTGTCTGCAGTTGAAATTGAAAAATTTCGGTGTAATCAATTAGACATACCTCCTAGACAAAAGAGAAAAGATGAACAGGATAAGTTCTAAGAACTTGCGACCAAACCTTCACACCACTCATTGCTTCAATGTACTCAGCGAGCCTCATTTTGTTAACCTTCTTAACCTACAACATGAGCCTATTTAAAAGTACATGAATATACTATACTATATGAATAGAATATTTTTAAAGTATCTATAAATAGGCTATACGTTTAAAATGCAATCTCAGTATAATCTGATGATGGAAGGGGTTGATGTGAAGGATCCAAAAACAATGGAAAGTGTGGCATTTGATGGGAAATCAATGGGGGAGATTATGTTCAGAGGCAACAAATCGATGCTGGGTTATCTGGAGAATTCAAAACCAGCTCATGAGGTTTTCAAGGGTGGATGGTATAGGACTGGTGACCTGGCAGTTAGGCATCCAGATGGGTACATTCAGATGAAAGACAGGGCAAGGGATATTATCATTTGTAGTGGTGAGGTTATCAGCACCCTTGAGGTGGAGGCAGTTTTGGAGGCTGCTTGTGGGAAAATATGATGAGGTTTTGGGGGAGACTCCTTGTGGTTTTGTGAAGTTGAAGGAGGGGTTTGGTGGTGGTGTTGAGGCAAGTTCTAGAGAGATTATAGAGTTTTGTGAGGGGACATTACCTGGTTTTACGGTTCCAACAGTTATGATATTTGGGGATTTGCCTAGCCCAACTGGGAAGATGCAAAAATTTGTTCTAAGGGAGAAGGCCAATCTTGTGCGAGGCCAAGAATAAGATGCCTAATCGCTGATATGGGCATTTGATTTGACAATTAGAAAATAAAAACAGCATATAGCCGTACGGCTATACTATTTCTTTTTAAAAAATTGGAAAAAACTGAGTATAGCCGGGCGGATATACTAGTTCTTATTTAAAAAAAAATTAGAACTGCAGAGTATAGCCGTTCGGCTATAAACAGGGTATAGCCGGACGGCTATACTATTTCTTAAAAAAAAATTTAAAAAAGGGTATAGCCGGACGGCTATACTATTTCTTAAAAAAAAATTAGAAAAAAGGAGTATAGCCGCTATTTCTTTAACAAATAATAGTATAGCCGGACGGCTTTAATATTTCGTTTAAACAAATTTAAAAACAGCGTATAGCCGACCGCCGGTCCTATTTCTTTGACGAAAAAGTAAGAAAACAGAGTATAGCCGGGCGGCGAAACTATTTCTTTTAAAAAGTTGAAAAACTGAGTCTAGCCGCCCGGCTATACGATTTTTAAAAAATAAGCAAGACAGAGTATAGCCGACCGGCTATACGTTATATAAAATTTAGGAGCAAAATGGTCATTTCGTGTCCAACCCCATCCCCACACCAGCTCCACCACTCCCTCACCAGCACCTTCACAAACCCACCAGTCAAAATAATCCAAACAACATTAACAATATCGAGATCATGCTTTGGACGTTCTAATTGGTGAAGACGTGGAAACTGAGCTCTGCATACAATAATACACTAACCAACCCGTTTATAATTCTAAATGGACCGACCAACCAACCCATTTATTTATTTCTCTCCAATTGACTATAGTTTCATCACTTAGTTCATGTCCGAGTCAAAGAACCCTGCAGACTCGCCCGAGTCAGCTACCCAAACCCAACCCTCAAACTCATGGCCCTCAGCCACAACTTCTCTTTTTCTAATCCTAATACTTCCCGTCATCACCGCCACGCTCATCTACCAACTCGACTCGTTCGACCCAGCCCCTCTGCCTTATCACGAGTTGACTCGCCGCTTAACCAGGAGGGCTCCTGCTCACAACCCTCGCATGCTTCGAGGGTCGGAGCGTGTGGGCTTTGGGGTCTTGCGGGGCCCCGAGGACGTGGCTTATCATTCCGGGTCGGGGCTTATTTACACGGGTTGTGAAGACGGGTGGCTCAAGCGAGTTAAACTCAACGACTCTGAAAATCCCGAGTTTGTGGTGGAGAGCTGGGTCAACACGGGAGGCAGACCGCTCGGGCTCGCTTTCGGACTTCACAATGAAGTTGTCGTCGCTGATGCCGATGAGGTTGGTACACGTAGGAAATGTTAAATATTTTTGTTATTTGGTTGTTTCTCTTCAATATAATAGTTACGATAATCAAAAGTCTAATATCTATAATTGTTTAAAAAATAAATAATTAGTTTGTTTAATCTCAGCCCTTCATTTTGGTCTAATCTAATGGTTGAAAACTTGAGTAAAATTACTTGTGTCATGGATCCGCACTCATATCTAAATGGGCTTAAAAAAACTAAAGTTTATGTGACACCATTTATGAGCCCAACGAATAAATACAAATGTGGAAACTCAGTTTCTTTTTTTTACTTGTGCAATATAGGTCTCTACATTTTTTATTTTCTAGACATATTACTTGCACTCTATAAATCTATGTGTAAAACTCAATTCCAAATTTAAATGACCAGTAGAATATAAGAGGTCATAGTATTTCTATGTTTTTACATCGTTGCCACCAGACTTCATAATTTATTCATAATTTATTTCAAGTATTTCATTAACTGCTATAATTGTAATTAATACTCCATATATTAATAGCATATCAATCACCTCATTTCTTTTGATTGTCATTCCCTCTAACCATATTGCCCCTTAAAATGCCAACCACTTTTTTTTTTTTTTTTTTTTTTTTTTATTACATATCCAATAATGTATCTATGAAAAATATAAATATAAATATATACGTAAAAAAATATAGGTATATTGTTTACCAAAAATATTTACAGAAAAATAGGTACACAATAATTTATAGAAAATATAGTTACACAATTATTTATATAAAAAAAATAATAGGTACACAATAATTTATAGAAAATATAAATACACAATCATTTATAATAAAAATAATAGGTAGATTATTATCCATGAAAAATCTAGGTACAAGAAATGAGATCCAAGTTCTAAAATATGTAGATTATTATCTAGGAAAGATGGAACACAATTTCAAAAAGGCAATAAGGAAAACTGCATTTTTTGGCCAAGACATTGTTGATTGTATTGATGAATTTTAATAATAAAACGGATAATTAATTGCAGACAAAATTTTTAGAGGGAATCACCACAATAAATTGGGGAACCAAAAATTAAAGAGATTTTCTATTTAAACCTCACACTTCTCTTAGTTCACCTCATGTTCTAAGTTCACCCCAACTTTTAATTTAAATTTTCACAATTTCTAAGAAAACCCCACTATCTTCCCAAACTACCCTTAAATACACCCCAAACTGAAAAAATAAGAACTAAAAGAGATTTTCTATTTAAACCCCACAATTTTCTTTGTTCCCAACCAAAAAAAACACAAACAAATGAAACCCTAAATCCGAAATTTAATATCTAGAGGAAGAGAACAGCTTTACCAAGAGAATTGTAACTGGAATTCTAACACTTGGGTATTGTTGAGTTGAGAACTTGAGAGAGAGAGAGAGAGAGAGAGAGAGAGAGAGAGAGAGAGAGAGTTTGTAAACAGGAAGTTGGAAGGAGGTTTTTAAAACTTAATATGAAGAGTTGTGGGGTGTGTGGGGTGTGTGTACTAGGGTTAATTATTAAGTTGGATGACCTTTTTTGTCTTTTTACACAATAATAAAACTTACAACTTAATGATTTAAGTATTTGGGTGAACAAAGAGAAGTGCGGAGTTTAAATAGAAAATCTCAAATTAAAACACCATCCCATTACACGTTGAAATATAAATAGGGGCATTTTGGCAATCAAAAAATGATAATAAATAAGATATTGAGCTTAATAAGGTAACTTGATGAGTTCGATCCTAGTCATTGGTTTTTACTTATAAAAATTGGGTATTATTTATAGGAACAAAAAATGAAGGGTTGCAAGTAAGGTAAGTTGAATTTGAAGGGTGTAAGCCAAATTTACATTTTTTTTAAAAAAAATTATGAACAAAGAAACTTGTGACATCTTTAGAAACTGGAAAAACTAATGATGTAATCAGTGTAAAACTTGAACGTTATTTTGAGATAATGTATCTGCTTAAGAAAGACTGACCTTATATGAGGTGGGGTATGGGTGCAAGTTGTGCATAATAAAATGAAATTTATGGCAGGGCCTGCTGAATGTAACGAGTGAGGGTGAGGTAAAGCTGCTGACAGACGAGGCTGAGGGTGTAAAATTTGGAATTACAGACGGTGTAGATGTAGCCGTGGATGGTACGATTTATTTCACAGATGCTTCATACAAGTACAACTTAAAACACTTTGTTTGGGACTTTTTGGAGGGTCGGCCTTATGGTAGATTCATGAGCTATGACTCAGCAACCAAACAGACCACAGTGCTGGTTCGCGATCTCTACTTTGCTAATGGAGTGGTGGTTTCGCCGGATCAAAGCCACGTAATCTTCTGTGAAACCCCCATGTACGATGTTAGTTTATGATGTTCTGTTGTTTGAACGTGTGATCTAGATTGATAGGGTGATAATGTAACATGTTAGACTGTTTTTTTGTTTATGCATGTTATAGGAGGCGGTGTAGAAAGTATTATGTACAAGGGGATAAAAAGGGAAGTGTGGAGACTTTTATTGATCAGCTGCCAGGCTTGCCAGATAACATCAGATATGATGGAGAGGGCCATTACTGGATTGCATTGTCAATGGTAAATAAAAAATGTTCCCACTGTTTTTTTCAAAAAGCATTTCCTTGTAAAGGGCTTGTACTAAAATCCTAGTTTTTGTTTTGTGCAAATTTTGATGCAGGCACCTACATTGGCTTGGGATTTAGCTGTTAGATATCCTTTCATCAGAAAAGTTATGGGAATTATGGAGAAGTACACAGGGAGACCCAATGTAGAGAAGAATGGTGGCGTTTTGGCCGTTGATTTAGATGGAAATTTGATTTCACATTATTATGATCCAGGATTGTCACTAGTTTCAAGTGTGATCAAGATCGGAAATCAGATTTTCTGCGGCTCGATATTCCATCCTTACATGCTTCGCCTCAACATTCAACAATACCCAACAATGGCTGTTGCTTGAGGAACGAGCAGCTATTGTATATAATGTGGTACGAAACACATTTTCTATGTTATATATATATATATATATATATATATATATATCCCTCAATATGAATGGGTTAGGCTAAATTTATCTTAAGGTTTTTTAGGTTTTAGACATAAAAAAAATTTTACTTTTGGAAAAAGCCAAAGCTTTTTCAAAAAAGACAAAAAAACCGCTCAACTTTCAAATCAAAGACATGCAAATGTATTGGATTCCTTAGGAAATCTAAAAATAAATAAGGGCATTTTTGTCCATTTTTGCTTCTTTTAAAATTTTTCTCTCTCCTTTTGCTTGTTCCAAAATGTATCTTGCATAAAGGTATTATGTATGAATGGGTATTATATGAACAAGCTTGGGTGGGTTGTATTAGAAATTTTGGGCTTTATAAAAAAAATAACACCTTACTAAGGACCGTCCTTGTTGGTAATATATATATATATATATATTTTAAGGGAGCTGATTTCCCCATTCTATTTTTCTCTATTTACACTCAATTTTGCTTTTTAATACTTTTTAATCAATTTTGTTTTTTCTCTTTCCTATTCTATCCTTACCCTACATTAATTTCTTTTTTACTTCACTTTTATATTATATATTTTTCTTTGTACTTAATTTTTCAACTTACACCCCATTTTCAGTATTAAAGGGAAAAAAAAAAACTTAATTTCTTACTCGATTAAAGAAAAAAAAATACTGAAAATGGAGGGCAAGTTGGAAAATTAAGTATAAAAAAAAACTAATATAAAAGTGAAGTAAACTGAAATTAATGTAGGGTAAGGGTAGAATAGGAAAGAGAAAAAATAAAATTGATTAAAAAATATTAAAAAGCAAAAGGAAATGTAAGTGAAGAAAAGATGAGTGGGGAACTCATATTCCTTTTTTAATACAAACTATAGTGAATTACGGGGCGGGTGGGGCTGATGCAAGTTCTAGAGAGATCCTAACGTTTTGTGGGGAGAAATTGCCTGCTTTTATGATATATGGGAATTACCTAGCCCAATTGGGAAGATAGAAAAAAACAAAGTTGAGGGAGAAGGCCGATAATCCCTGATACGGCATTTGATTTGACAATTGGCGACCAGATTTGTTGGTTTGATTCACTTTGGGTCAAGACAAGAAAATACTAAGGTCCAAATGCCACGTCAGTGGGCTCTGTATTGGGAAAAATCTTGGTCTAAATAAGCACCATCTGATTCTCATCCATATCCATATACGCAAGATAAGTCACCAGCAAGAGCAACCCAGCGCTCACTCACTCACCCCAACCCACCTGCACAATCTCTGCCTGCATGCAGTGCAGCCAATAAAAACTCCAGAGACACTATTGTAATCTGAACACATGTCCGAGTCAGTTAACCCTGCAGACTCATATTTTTATAGATATTTTTGTGAAAATTGCTAGGGCATGCACGATAGCTGGGATGTGGAAACTTACTTGTCTGGTTTGGCATGCACGATGCGAGAGTGCTTTCTCTTGGTCACAAAGTCAACATATATTTTCTCAGTGTTTGGTATATTTTAATTTTTCTTTCTGATATTTTAATTATGATGTGAATGTGACAAGTTTTCATGGTTATCTCCTAAGTTCGTGATAGATTATTTTTAGTACAAGTCCATTTAAAGGAACGAAATCATTTTCACTTTCCTTTCCAAGCATTAAGATAAGACAACCATTAAAGGCATGTCACGATCAAAGAAAGAAATGCAGCAAAACACTTTAATGACTTAAATGGTCTCTTAATTATTGCTCAATTATCATTTTAGTTCATCAACTAAAATTTTCAATTCAAACGTCCTTAAATTTTTTATATTGTACCAAAATCATCCTTCTGTTAAAGTCTGTGTATTATTCCGTTAAATCGAGGGACAAAACCATATTTTTAGGTGAGTATCCTCTTCTAAAACGTCTTGGCCACTGGTTGGAGAGAGGGTTTTGCTCTGTGTGTTGTTGCTGCTTCTACATCTTCAGCCTCTTCAGGTGGCGCAAAAAGCTTAAACAAAAGGCATCTGGAGAGAAGAACAGGAGTCCAGCAAGGACAAGCTCAGGGGCCAGTGGGGGCCGTGGAAGCTCTGATAGTGGAGTGCCAAAGCTTGTTATGTTCAACAACAAAGTCACACTGGCAGAGACAATTGAAGCTACCAGACAATTCGACGAAGAAAATGTGCTCAGCATAACAAGATATGGGTTGGTCTTCAAGGCTTGTTATGCTGATGGTATGGTGTTATCAGTCCGCCGCTTCCCAGATGGAGCACTCAATGAAAACTTGTTCAGAAAAGAAGCTGAAGAAGAGGCTGCCTCATTTTCTTCATCTGGTGCACCTTCACCCACCAACCCATCAACAAATTTCCAAAAATTAAACAAACACAAATAAAAAAAATACAAACTTTAAAAGAATTTGAGAGAGAAATAGGAAAAATAGAGTGAGATTAGACCAATGGTGGATGATGATGATGATGCAGAGACTTGGAAGGGGGTTGTGGCCATGGGTGTATTGAAGTTAGTTCTCAAATGGGCAAACGTGAGAGAGGGGCAATGAAGATTTGGGAAATGCCCAACAACTCCTTGAGGACTTATTGATGGCGTGGGGAGACCACTGAAACAATAAGCAATGGCTACCATTGTCCTCGAGCTTGGTGATTGTTGCAGAGGATTTGATAAGGCAGATGAGCTGCCGTGCTGGTTGTGGAGCGTTTCTCACATGCCAATCAGGATGTTACACGTGGTGAAGCAGGGGATGATCATGGCCGATGTTTGGAGAGATTTTGCATCCAACGGTCAAAGAGGAAGCAGCTCCAAAAAGTCGCATATATCCTTCAAAACTCAGTCACTTGGCCATCGCGTGATCGAAAGTGACAGAATCTGTCACAGAAGGACGATTTTGGTACAATATAAAAAGTTTAAGGACGTTTGAATTGAAAATTTTAGTTGGTGGACCAAAATGATAATTGAACGACAATTGAGGTACCATTTAGGTTATTAACCCTTTTGCATTAATTCTTTTGCCTTTTTTTATATAAAACTAGGGTAAGTTAAGGAGGAAGAGAAGAAGACAGGGAGAGTGACTTGCAGCTTTTTTTCTCTTTTTGGAAAAAAAAAAAAAAAATTTTCTGGAACGGCTCAATTATATATTCTCACACGGCTCAATTATATACCACTCCCTCATATCCTCCATCGATTTTCTACCACTCCCTCATATCCTCCATCGATTTTCTGGGACGAGTTGATCACCATTGTTAACTCAGTACGTGACAATGTCCAACTCAACTTCAAGCGACTCGCCTTCCCCAACCCAACCCTCTCATCACACTCATCCCATTCCCACAACCAAAACATCGTCCTCATCTTCATTATCATGGCCCTCAGCTTTTCTTATCTTCTCAGTTCTGTGTCCACTGGCAATAGCTCTGCTCATCTACCAACTCGACTCGCTCGACCCAGCTCCTCTACCCCTCAACGAGTTGACTCAGCTAGTCGCGGCTGCTCCAACGCGTAATGCCCACATGCTCAAAGGGTCGGAGTTTGTGGGTGCTGGGGCTTTGGTGGCGCCCGAAGACGTGGCTTATGACTCAAAGTCGGGGCTGATTTACACGGGTTGTGCTGATGGGTGGGTCAAGCGAGTCACGCTGAACGAGTTGGCTGCTGATTCGGTGGTGGAGAACTGGGTTTTCACCGGTGGGAGGCCGCTTGGACTCGCTCATGGCCATAAGAACGAGGTCTTTGTGGCTGACACAGAAAAGGTCAGCTCGATCCTAAATATCAGTGCATACTAAATTTGTTCATGTTTATTTGTTGGATTTGTAGGGGATAACAAAGTAATTTTATTAAATTGGAGGAGAATAGTACATGACTTTGTGTAGGCTAATTGGCCTTGTACACTTAGCATATTAGCTTATTGACCACAACACTTGATTTAATTAGTTTGGGCTATTTGGCCCTTCACTTAGATTAGTTTAGGCTATTTGACCCTTTACTTAGATTGGTGAGCTTATTGGCTCCACAGCATAACTTTACTTGAATAGCTCTTTGGCTCCCTTAGTTTGAGAGTTCCTTTGTTTCACTCCACATATAACTTGGGTTGGGTAGCCTTTTAGCTCCACTTTATATGATCATTTGTATGTCTACTTATAGACATGATCCACCGCCATTCCTTGGTCCACCGACTTAGGAAGAGTAACTCCAGCCACATGTTTTATTTCTCTAGACTTTTCTCCAAGGTTGCATGTGGCTGCCGACATGTAAGCTTCTCCAATAGTTTAGGCTCTTCTACCAAGTTAATAATATTAATGATTCTTCTGGAACCTTTTGGATATTTTTGTCACAAATGGGCATTAGTATTTTCAACATTATTATTTGGTCAAAGTTCAAGTAAACATAGATTCTTACCCAGAAAAGCAAAAACAAAAACGTAAGATTGGTTAAATTGGTAAAGTTCCTGCACACACTGTGTATAGCCCCACTAGTATTCGAGTCCTGCTGCTATGCCAACAATCCTGATTCGTGGGTGATATGTAATTTACTTATACATATCACTTGACATGAATTTTTTTGAGAGTACAGTCTTATGAACAAAACTCGTATAGAAACTTGCTTCTCACTGACAAAACAGCTTGTTATGAGTGAGGACGGAACAGTAGAACTACTGAAGATAAGTGAGGACGGAAGAGTAGAACTCCCCACCTAAGTGACAACACAACTTGCTGCACACACTGTGTATAGCCCCACTAGGGGCTTATGTAACGCTTGTTATGATTTAACTAGATAGTTCTTTCCATGTCACCTTGCAAGACAAGTCCCCACCTAAGTTTTCTACAGTTTCACAACATGCATAAAAGTAGGTCCTGATCTCATGTGCATATTGTAAGAGGGAGGTGGCCTCATAATTATATCAATATTTATTTTTGTTTTCTTTTTGTTATTATTATTATTTTTTCAATCAGGGGCTATTGAAGATAAGTGAGGACGGAACAGTAGAACTGTTGACAGATGAGGCCGAGGGTGTAAAATTCAAGCTAACAGACTGCGTAGATGTTGCACAAAATGGCATGCTTTACTTCACAGATGCTTCACACAAATACAGCTTAAAAGACTTCATCTCGGATATTTTAGGGGGCAGACCCCATGGCAGATTGATGAGCTACAACCCAACAACCAAAGAGACCAAAGTTCTGGTCCACAACCTCTACTTTGCCAACGGAGTAGCAGTCTCTCCAGATCAAAACTTCGTTGTCTTCTGTGAAACTGTCATGTAAGTTCTTAGAACTTAAGGACTTCTTCTTTTTTTTCTTTTTTATTTATTTGAAAGTATGGACAAAGTTTTTTACTGCCTTAAATGGTTAATATTGCAGGAGAAGGTGTAGAAAATACTATCTACACGGCAGTAAAAAAGGGAGTGTAGAAAATTTTATTGACCATTTGCCAGGCTTGCCTGATAATATCAGATATGATGGGGAAGGCCAGTACTGGATTGCTTTGGCCACGGTGATGTTCATTTTCTCTCTTTTTTCTGAAAAATCACATCAGTTGTTCTGTTTTGAATGGAACAAGGATGGATTTTTTTTTTCATGGTTTATTGACATTTTGTATGCCAAATTGGCAGGAGGTTACACCATACTGGGATCTAGCACTTAGATATCCTTTTATTCGAAAGGTTCTGGCAATTGTGAAGCGGTACGCAGCAGGCAGACCGCATATGGAGAAGAATGCTGGTGTGTTGGCTGTGAATTTGAATGGGGAACCTACTGCTCACTATTCTGATCCTGAGTTGTTTCTCATTTCAACTGGGATCAAGATTGGAAATTACCTCTACTGCGGTTCGATTGTTAATCCCTACATTATCCGCCTTGATGTCCATAAACATCCTGCACATCCCACTACATGAGCTATATATGGTGTACTATTTCCTACTCCCTTGATATAATTTGCAACAAACATGCAATGCTAGTGTAGCTTCATTACAGAACCTTAAGCATACATAGATGCAATGGTATAGCTTGGTTTATTAAAATTTTTCCTTTCTTACAATAGATAAGGAGCCAACAAGTTACCTTCTAATTACACTTGTTACAGCTTGTTCAAGCGAGGCTCCCCAAGGCCTTTGCTTTTTCTCTGAGAATAAATTTCTGTATCTTTTTTTTCTTTGTTACATTGCAGGAAATCAAACAATAGACATAGTATTAGTGATTTTTTCAAGTCTTAAGTTCTCCATAGACATGAAATACAGAACTTGTGTCACAAAAGGAGATTTAAGTTATATTATAAGAAGAAATTAGCCAAAGGGGTAAAATAAAACAAAATAAGAAAATGGCCCAAACAACAATCCATTAACAAATAATCCAGAATCCAAGTCATGTTATGTTATCTAATTGTTGAATCATTCTAAAGTAACAAAGCCCTTAAATGAGGCCACATCTCTCAACCATTGATCAACAAATCAACCAACTTATGTAGTTAGGCCCGAGCCATCCACTTTGTTCTTCATTTTGGGTCAAGAAAATACTAAGGTCCAAATGCCACGTCAGTAGGCTCCCTAGTGGGAAAAATCTTGGTCTAAATAAACACCATCTGATTCTCATCCATATCCATATACGCAAGATAAGTCACCAGCAAAAGCAACCCAGCGCTCACTCACTCACCCCAACCCACCTGCACAATCTCTGCAAGCATGCAGTGCAGCCAATAAAAACTCCACAGACACTACTATAATCTGAACACATACAATAGAGAAAACTACCAACCCAACGTTAATTAACGGTCATGTACATGTCCGAGTCAGTGAACCCTGCAGACTCATATTTTTATATATGAGAAAGAAGAAGAATAGATATTTGGGGAGAGAAAGAAGAAGAAGAAAAAAAGAAAGAGAGAGAGAAGGAAAGGAAATAATAAAGAAAGAGGAGAGAGAGAAGACTGAACCCGGGTAAAGGAAGAAAGAAGAAAGAAGAAAAAAAAAATTAGATATCCAATCCGAAGCGTTTCAATTATCCCATAGTCAAAAATAGAAATTCGTAATCACTCCGCAGTATTTGACTTCGAAATGGCGGAGACTTCTTGGTGCCGCCCCTGCCTTCGTTTCTTCCTCCTTAACTTACCAAAGTTAAAGAAAACCAACAAAAGACTTGAGTTAAAGGAGTTGAAAGAAACAAAAGAAAAGAAACACATCTTGTTTTGTTGAAAATTATGATCAGCCCCATTATATACGCTCACACGGCTCAATTATATACCACTCCTCTCATATCCTCCATCGATTTTCTGGGACGAGTTGATCACCATTATTAACTCAGTACGTGACAATGTCCAACTCAAGCGACCCGCCTTCCCCAACCCATCCCATTCCCACAACCAAAACGTCTTCGTCGTCTTCAATATCATGGCCCTCAGCTTTTCTTATCTTCTCAGTTCTGGGTCCACTGGCAATAGCTCTGCTAATCTACCAATTCGACCCCCTCGACCCAGCTCCTCTACCCCTCCACAAACTCCGGCTGCTGCAACGCGTAACGCCCACATGCTCAAGGGGTCGGAGTTTGTGGGTGCTGGGGCTTTGGTGGCGCCCGAAGACGTGGCTTATGACTCAAAGTCGGGGCTGATATACACGGGTTGTGCTGACGGGTGGGTCAAGCGAG